AAACTGAAATTTATTTAACGCGTTTTAACAGGAATAATAATTACACAGCTTTAACACACAAAAATGTCACATCTGAGCCAACATCCACCGTCATCACAGTTTTTGTCAGTCTTTACGAAGGTTTGAAGCTCAGCCGCTGAGGATTTTGGAAGTTATCCCGGCCCTTCCAGGACACTGCGGTTATCCCGGCCCTTCTAGGACGCTGAGGATGGGAACAACAACTTTGTCCATGGATCACGTTAAGAGGCACGTAACTTCCTCCGTCTTCTAATAACATATTAATTTTTCCACTATAATCTACCGTGTCCATAATTACTGTCACATTTGCTTTGTCTGTTTCGTAAGGTGACGTCTTGGATCTTTTTTAATTCATAGTTTATTTTAACAAATCTTTGAGGACAATTGTGTTGTAGAGGTATGAGCAAAGATAAACAATAGAAGGGAAGGCTAAACAATAGTAGGGAAGGCTAAACAATAGTAGGGAAGGCTAAACAGTAGGGAAGGCTAAACAATAGTAGGGAAGGCTAAACAATAGTAGGGAAGGCTAAACAATAGTAGGGAAGGATAAACAATAGTAGTGAAGGCTAAACAATAGCAGGGAAGGCTAAACAATAGTAAGGAAGGCTAAACAATAGTAGGGAAGGCTAAACAATAGTAGGGAAGGCTAAACAATATTAGGGAAGGCTAAACAATAGTAGGGAAGGCTAAACAATAGTAGGGAAGGCTAAACAATAGTAGGGAAGGCTAAATAATAGCAGGGAAGGCTAAACAATAGTAGGGAAGGCTAAACAATATTAGGGAAGGCTAAACAATAGTAGGGAAGGCTAAACAATAGTAGGGAAGGCTAAACAATAGTAGGGAAGGCTAAAAAATAGCAGGGAAGGCTAAACTATAGCAGGGAAGGCTAAACAATAGCAGGGAAGACTAAACAATAGTAGGGAAGGTTAAACAATAGTAGGGAAGGTTAAACAATAGCAGGGAAGGCTAAACAATAGCAGGGAAGGCTAAACAATAGTAGGGAAGGCTAAACAATAGTAGGGAAGGCTAAACAATAGTAGGGAAGGCTAAACAATAGTAGGGAAGGCTAAACAATAGCAGGGAAGGCTAAACAATAGCAGGGAAGGCTAAACAATAGTAGAGAACGCTAAACAATAGTAGGGAAGGCTAAACAATAGCAGGGAAGGCTAAACAATAGCAGGGAAGGCTAAACAATAGTAGGGAAGGCTAAACAATAGTAGGATAGGCTAAACAACAGGGGGAAGGTTAAACAATAGGGGAAGGTTAAACAATAGGGGGAAGGTTAAATAATAGGGAGAGGGCTAAACAATAGGGGAAGGCTAAGCAATAGGGGGAAGGCTAAACAATAGGGAAGGCTAAACATAGAGGGGCCATGGGAAGGTTAAAACAATGGGGGAAAGGGGTTAAACAATAGGGGGAAGGTTAATCCATGGGGAAGGCTAAACAATAGGGGGAAGGTTAAACAATAGGGGGAAGGTTAAACAATAGGGGGAAGGTTAAACAATAGGAAAAGGCTAAACAATAGTGGGAAGGTTAAATAATAGGTGAAAGGTTAAACAATAGGGGAAGGCTAAACAATAGCAGGGAAGGCTAAACAATAGTAGGGAAGGCTAAACAATATTAGGATAGGCTAAACAATAGGGGAAAGGTTAAACAATAGGGGGAAGGCTGAAGAATACAGTTGATCACTATAGTCTGGTTTAGCTAAGATTAGAGAGGAATTAAGAGTAAGAAGTGTTTGTCTATCAGACCCCTCCCCCCCTCTCCTCCCATGAAAGACGGGTGAGAGCTGGACGGAGGCTTCACGTACTACACAAACAACTTTCAAAGTTATGTGAGACTTCCAGGACATTCGACGTTCAAACATAAGATCGAAAAATATGACTATATCCTGTTCAGGGGTACAGGAACCATACAGGTATAGAACGGTAGGAGGGATAATAGGGCATCTTGTAAAAGTTATCTGGTGTGTTTTTAGTAAAAGAAAACAAGCCTATGAGAAGTTTTCCTCCTCACTAGAGAGACACCATCATTCTTGTCCTCCTCATCAGAGAGACACCATCATCCTTGCCCTCCTCACCAGAGAGACACCATCATTCTTGTCCTCCTCACCAGACACCATCATTCTTGTCCTCCTCACCAGAGAGACACCATCATTCTTGTCTTCCTCACCAGACACCATCATTCTTGTCCTCCTCACCAGAGAGACACCATCATTCTTGTCCTCCTCTACTCTTTAATGTAAAGCTTCATTTATGATTAACAAACTCACTGAATTGTTATATCAACTGACTTTATTTCACCTTTGTGCTTATCCTCTAGAGTCTAGAATCATTCCTTAGCCACGTAGTGCTGAAAGATTTATCAGAATATATATTAATCCATAAAAGTAACAATAACTGCTCCAGAGAGTGGAAACAAACAAATTTGATTTGGGAAAAGAAAGACAATGCTTGTTTTTGAGGTAAGGCGAGACAAGGACTCAGTCTGCTGATATGGGTATGAACCTCTTGAGTCGCGACAATGTGTACCACTCCCTACTGAACATGCAGGTCTTGCCGAAGGTGATACTGGGATAGAGGACCTGCCCACCGGTGAGGTAGCCCGTCCAGAAGCCATAGCTGCCCAGGCTGATGATGCTGTGGTTGCAGGAGGCCAGAGTAGCCAGGTCCACCTGCCATGTGGTGCCTGAAGGAGTGAATGGAGAAGGCAGATAGCACAAAATTTTACAGTTGACCCTGAAGCTGAGGACGAACTACAGTTGACTTGACTGCATGTTTGTCTAGATAGTTGAAGCAAGAAGCGGAAGGCTCTGGAAAAGGGCGAGAAAAGTGATGGATATACAGTGAACAGTAAGGAACAGGGTGAGACAAGTGATGAATATACAGTGAACAATAAGGAACAGGGTGAGAGAAAGGATGGAAAAATAGGGAAGGTTGAGGAGCATGATGACAGATAGCTAAGTGAGAGGGAAGCAGTAACAGAGAAAAAGCGGTAGGTAAAAGTACGCAGAAAGAGAGAGAGGAAGCGAAGAAAGAGAAGGTAGGTACTGAACGGCCATGAGAATTCAAGAAAGCACAAGTAGAATATGATAAATGAAAAACATTAAATTACAAAAACAGGTAGAAAGAAATCGAAAAGTAATGAAAGGTTGAAAGATGCTGAGAACGTATCAGACAAAGTAAAGAATTCGTAATAAAACAATGGAAAATAAAATAAAGACAGATCAATGGGTGTAAGAAGTCTTAAAAGGAAGTGTTTTTGTGGATGGTTCCCAGAAACCAGATTCCCTGCACAGTTTTATAACATACAGATGTGTGAACTTTAACATGACGCTGACCTAAAATACATTAGTTATGTAGCTAATCCCTTCAAGGAAGGCGACTTGATGTGAGCCAGGTACTTTGAATCCCTCCACAATGGAGCTAGCTTCCCCTACCTTGGCTTAAAGCTCCCATTTCCCGGGCGTTCTATGACCTCCTATGGGTTTAGCAAGTCCCTATAATAATAATAATAAAAAAAATAACAGCAACAACAACAACAACAACAACAACAACAACAACAACAACAACAATAATAATAATAATAATAATAATAATAATAATAATAATAATAATAATAATAATAAAAAATACAGAAAATCATATAGCAGCCAAGTAAAAAGTTTGTATAATAAAATATCAATTTTTAAAGGGGTGGATGGGTAAGCCAGCAGAAGGCTTCTGTTATATGACCAAGAGCTCCAGTGACGGGTCATCATATGACTAAGACCTGTGTCAGGAAACACTTTTCCTGTTTCCTGACGAATCTTACCTAAGTGCGTAGAAACAGTAGAACTTAAAACATATTACGAACACAGGTAAAGAATGGCCTGTGAGACTTGCTAGTGATGGGAACTGGAGCAAATAAAAATTCAGCAGTAGACTATAATGTACATTTTGCCTTCCCGCACTATGTACAGATATGTACAGTATGTACAATATGTACAGAAAGAGTAATAAGTGTACACGACGGTGACAGATGGCAGAGCAAAAGCCCGAGTGTACCGTACTCAACCAGCACGTAGGCAAGATGCCACTGCTTACCGCATGTGAACAACGTAGCTTCAGCTTTGGCGGGCTTACCTGTGACTGGTCAAGGTACCCTATTTATCGTTAAACCATCAGCACCCGGTTAGCTGGTTGGGAGGCAGCCTATATGGAAGTGCGACATATGCCAAATTGTACATACTTTTGCATGCCACCAAACATAAGAAAACAGAAATTAACAATGTGTTTGTTGGATGCAGGCAATTTTTAGAAGTTCGAAGAATTTATCAGACCATTAACCTGGAGGGTTAGTAATCCAGGGTAACCCAGTGTAGCCAGGATATATCCTGGCTATATATCAAACAGTCTTTTTTCCACTGGTGGTCTTTAATCCTTTTACCTCAGGATGCCCCAAACCCCAGCCACCTAACACACAGGTGCCTACTTACTACTAGGTAAACTGGGCGGCAGGTATGAGAAAAACATGCCCAATGGCTCTACCCGTTCGATGATCGACCCTCGGTCCCCACAGTATGCGAGGCGAGACCCCCGCTAGTGAGCCACGATCACCACGAAGAGAACTCTGAAAAGTCCTTTAACCTGGGGATCATTCGTGATTTTGACAATAAAAAATTTAAAAAATACAACAATCGTAAGAAAACATCAAAAGTAATATTAACAAACAATAAAACATTGCTTGCATGCATAAAAACACAAATAAAAAGCTATTACACAGCTAAAATAACCAGCATCACTTAAAAAAATCCCATTAATTAATGAAGTCGAAAGGTTCTAAAAGTCCCCCGAGATCCCACCAGACTCCCCAATATTTATAAAAGCCACTATGAAATGAAAAAGAAAACAAGGGCCCAAGTCGTCGTGGGGAAACAGTTAAGGTAATATAAATAATTTAAAACCACATATAAGCTACATTGTAATGTTTTTATAACCGATTCATGTCTTCATAAAATGAGTTCCACAGTCAGCTTTATGCCATCAGCTACACAGTGTCTTTACATGTGTCTTTACTTCTTCTCTGCTAGGAAGGTGGAATATTACTGTGGTCTGCTTTTATTTTTTTTATACAAGGACTCGGTGGTCCCTCTTTATCTTCTCTTTGAGATGTCTCTGCAACCACCGAGTGCTAGTACAAAAAAAATAAAGCGGGCCACAGTAACGTCCTGCCATCCTAGCAGAGATGATGAAGACACATGCTGTAGAACAAGCTTTTACTGAGAAAACATTTCACTCTTTTAGAACTTGATAAAGCTCGTCACAGAGCGAAGCTTTCTCTCATCTTGATGTATCTGGGTCGCTGTGCGATCTGAGGAAGGTATTCCAGTAATCCACAACCCAGTCCTCAGCGCCTCAATGTTCACGAATGGAACAGTATAGAGCATGCAGAGTCCATGTTTCTTTAACTCAAGTAAATTTGAAATTTGAATTTACTCGGACTCAACTTATGGGTTATGACCCTTCTTATAGAATGCATCGTCACTAATAATAAGCCAGTTAAAACAAGCATTCATTATTGAATAAAAATTAATATCACTATTTATTCAGTAAGATTGGCAAATTGGGACTTAAAGCGCCCAACAGCAGCGTGAACTTGTGTTCAGGAAACCAAACCAGTAGTAAAAATTTGAAACCATTCAGCTGAGTCATTCTCCAATTATGGCAGGGATTCCAACAATTACAAGTTTTTTTTTTAACTATTTTACTACATTAAGAAATTGGCAGGACGCAAAGAAAACTTAATATGTATTATCCTGGCCCTAAGATGCATCAGTAGTTAAATACTGAAGTCGTTCAGAAGAGGTAAACTGAAAATTATTTAGCTTGATTTTTTAAACCGGCCATATCCCGCCGAGGCAGGGTGACCTAAAACGTAAAGCAAAAGTTTCTCTTTTCAACTAGCCCTTGCCTCCCGGCATTTTAGTCACCTCTTACGGCACGCATGGCTTACCGAGGAAGTATTCTGTTCAACTTCCCCATGGAGATGAACGTGATTTAACGGGATTAAAAATTTCACATTATCTTACACTTAAAGTGGTCATATCTGCAGCAACGCACTTGAATTTCACTCCGCACCGCCGTCGAATTTTGTGGCTCCCTCGTGTGAAGCTTTGAAGCTCTGCCACTGAGCGTTCTGGAAGTTACCCGAGCCATTCCAGGAAAAAGAAAATAGTTTCACCACCTTGGGTCACAGGGCACTTGAACAAGCTAATTGTTGGAAGAGTTTTGCCCTCGTTACATTCTCAGATTATAAAAGAAATAAAATTGAAAGAAGGGAGGAAGGAAAAATTAATTCCGACAATCTCTTAAAGGTCTCCCTTAGAGGTTCCTAATAGAGGCATGTTTTACAACATGTGTCTTTCCTTTATTACTGTGGAAATTATGTCAATTGTATGCAGTAATGAATGTGAGGACTCATTAGCACCTTAGCGAGGGTGACTGTGCCTTTCTCATCACCTGGTTCATGGGCAGTGACATCGCGGCCCACCTGGAGAGAAAGTGACGTCAGGATAATGAGCGAACTTTTCGGTGGCGTACTGGGTGCCGTCGGAGGCCACTACGAAGATCACACGCCGAAACTTGTCTCGGAAGTACTGCATGGCTCGCCGGAAGTAAGCCTCCCCGGGCAGTCTACCTTCGTAATTCTAAAACGCGAATCAGACAGCAATTTAAAAATTATCAATACTGAAACTGCAATATTGTTATGTAATTTGATAAATGTTTAAATAGAACATTTTTTTTATACATACCAGGTGTTTTGATTCATAATTATTGGAGACACCGAAACGTTTATAAAGGTGACGTTTACATAGCAGACGGAGAATCACTTCCTGACAACTCTGTAACTGAAGAACTTCCTAACATCCCTATGACTCATATGAGTTTTCAACTTTCAGCTGTGACCCCATGTTGCTGTGTCCCATCTCTGAAATATTCTGTTCCTAACCACCCTGTCAATTCCTTTCAGTATTGTATATGTCGTTATCATCCCCCCTCCTCTCTCCTGTCCTCCAGTGCTGTCAAGTTGAGTTTCCCTCTCCTAGTAAGACATATCTCTTAGCTCAAGGGCTAATCTTCTTGCAAACCTTAGCACTTTCTCTAATTTCCTGATGTGTCTGACCAGGTGTGTGTGTACTCACCTAGTTCACCTAGTTGAGGTTGCAGGGGTCGAGTCCAAGCTCCTGGCCCCGCCTCTTCACTGGTCGCTACTAGGTCACTCTCTCTGAACCGTGAGCTTTATCATACCTCTGCTTTTTTTTTTTTTTTTTTTTTTTTTTTTACACAGGGTTTGACAAGGTTAAGGATCCCTAGCTTTATTGACAGCTATATTACAGGTTAAGGATTCCTAACTTTATTGGCAAGCTAAGAGCTGTTATCTACATCAGCTCATTTGAAAGCATTTTTATTGTTATGAGACATACAAGTAGGGAACAGGATGAAGTTGGAGCCATCTGTGGGCCAGCATTTTCATTTGATCAACTGACTTTATCTCGACATCATTATGCTGTACGAATGTGTTCCATACTCGAGTCATCCTGGGCATGTATGATCTCAGATGGAGTGATGTTCTGGAGAAGGGTACAGCCAGAGTGAAGTTGCTGCTTTCTGCCCGTCTTGTGGCATAAAAGCTTGTTTCACGCTGTCCTCGAAGTGGATCCAAGTGTGGTATTTTGACAATATTGGCCTTGTACATAACAGTAAGGCCACCCACATCCCTCCTATGTAGAAGGCTCTGCTGAAATGACAGATCTATCCAGGATGGGTCCAGGCGAGAGATGAGACGTCTTGCTCTGTTCTCTACTCTGTCAAGCAGTCGCAGATGAGAGGGGGGGCAGGCAAACCAAGGTGTAAGCGTACTTGTGCCTTGTACAGAATCTTGCAACCCCTACTGTCAAGCAGATGCGAGATACGGCGAAGTGCTGTAAGCTTCCTGGCTGCCTTGTTTGCAAGATTTACAACATGGTTCTTCATGGTTAGTTTGGAGTCAAATTTCACCCCAAGGATATCAACTTCTCCAGGTGCCAACATCCTCCCATTCATCCTTACTACTGCACCAGCATTACCATCATGGTGCCTAGAGACGATCATCATTTGCGTTTTCCCCAGGTGCAAATGTTACTTGCCATCTATTTCCCCAAGCTGATATAGCTCTCAGCTGGTGATTGATGTAGCTTAGAGCAGCTAGCATTTCTTCTCTTGGATAAGTGAATGTCAGTGTACAGTCGTCTGCATATCCATGTGATTCTGGGATGAGATGAAGAAGGTCGTTGAAGTAGACATTCCATAACAATGGACCCAGCACGCTTCCTTGTGGAACGCTTGCCCCAATAGGATGCCTTGCTGATTCCGTTCCACTGAGGACTACACTTAGAGATCTACCATGAAGGTAATCACTGAGGAGACATAGTGTAGAGCCTGCAATTCCCAGTGCTTGAAGTTTTGCTAAGAGGCCCTGGTGCCACACCCGGTCGAAAGCGCCAGCAATGTCCAGTGCTACCACACAGCTGACTTTGGATTCATCCAGTGACTGGTGCCACTTAGTGGAGAGGTTTAACCAACAGATCACAGCAGAGTAACCTTTCCTGAAGCCATATTGATGATCACAAAGTAGTGAGTGGTAGTCAAAAAAATCTGTCATTGTCTTGAGATTATTGTCTCAAGGATCTTACCAGTGATTGACAGGAGTGACACTGGTCTGTAGTTGCTGATTTCTGCTCTGCTCTTCTTTTTGTGAACAGGGACTACATTTGCCTCTTTCCATAGAGAGGGCCATTTACACTGTACTAAGGCAGTGCTGAAAGATGCGAGTTAGAGGTGCTGCTAGCTGGTCTGTCACATCTTCTCAACAATCTTGGGCTCAACTTGTCTGGGCCCACAGCCTTTTCTTGGTCAAGTGATTTAAGAAGGAAATGCACCTCCTCCTGCCTTATGCTCACCACTGACAGTTTTGACACAGTTCTTGCAGCTAGCCAAGGAGGGTCCCTTGCTGGATCAGGAACTTGCATTTTGGTAGCAAAGTGTTCAGCAAAGAGGTCCGCCTTCTCTTGACTACTAGTAGAGGTGGTCCCATCCTGTCGATTTAGAGGTGGAATAAGTTCATCAGGCAGATAACCTTGTCTGTCCTTGACCAGGGACTACCAGGTTTTGGAGCCTACCCTACCTGATGCTAACTTTCTTTTAGTGTCCACCTCCCATTTAGCAATGGCCCACTTTTGAACATCACCCATATGCCTACAGGCTTGCATGTGCAAGTTCCTGTTATAGGTGGTAGGATGTCTCTTATACCTTCGCCATGCTTTGTACTTAGCAGTAGCAGCCTCTCTACAACGAAAGCCAAACCAAGGCTGATCTGTAGGCTTTGTCACATATTGCCGGTGAGGAATGTGTTCTTGTTGCAGATTAAGGATGTGTCCAGTGAAGGCTTTCACTATGTATGGATCCTGCCTCCACTACATTGCTTCCCAAACTATTCCACTTACTGACTACTCTGTGGCTGAAGAAATACTTCCTAACATCCCTGTGATTCATCTGTGTCTTCAACTTCCAACTGTGTCCCCTTGTTACTGTGTCCAATCTCTGGAACATCCTGTCTTTGTCCACCTTGTCAATTCCTCTCAGTATTTTGTATGTTGTTATCATGTCCCCCCTATCTCTCCTGTTCTCCAGTGTCATCAGGTTGATTTCCCTTAATCTCTCCTCGTAGGACATACCTCTTAGCTCTGGGACTAGTCTTGTTGCAAACCTTTGCACTTTCTCTAGTTTCTTTACATGCTTGGCTAGGTGTGGGTTCCAAACTGGTGCCGCATACTCCAATAGGGGCCCAAAAGTACACGTGTACGGGTCCAAACGATTCCTTTTAAGTGTAGAATGCGTTCTGGGGTTTGCTAGGGCCCTATGCGCAGCATTTATTGATCGATGGCGTTTCGGGAAGATGTGCCGGTGTTATACTCCCCCCAAGTTTTTTTCCTTGGTGGTTTGTAGTCTTGCCCCCTAGACTGTACCCCCGTTGGGGTCTTCTTTGCCCTTACCCAATCTTCAGACTTTGCATTGGGGGGAGTGAACCCCAGGACCCAATTGCTGGACAGGTCTGCAGCCTGTCCAATCCCTTTGTATTTCTCCCGGTCTTCGATCGAGTGAATTTTCCCCAAAATTTCACGTCATCGGAAAACAGGGACACCTCAGGTCTATTCCCCGTCATGTCATTCAAAAAATCCCCGAAACGCACTGGTTGGGACTGACCCCTGTGGGACCCCGCTGGCACAGGTCCCCACCTACCCCTCCCCAGTCCCATACTCGCTCTGTCTTCCTGCAAGTATTCCCGATCCTTGTAGTCCCTTCCCCGTTTCCCGGTTGGTCCTCCAGTTTTTGCACAATCTTTTGGAAAAACTTGTCAAACCCCCCTTTTTGCGCCCAAGAAATATGAAATCCACCCCCCCCTCTCTCTATTGTTTACTGTGTCCCATGCATAAAAAACTCCAGTAGGTTTTGTGACAAGGATTTCCACCCCGAAACCTTTTGGGCTGCTTTGATGGATCATTCTTTCTTGGTTTTTCCACACTCTTCCCTGATAACTTCTCCATTTTTTGCATACTATACATGTCAGTGACATGGTTGTAGTTTAATGTTTCATGTTCTGTCCCCTTTTTAAAGATGGGACTACATTTGTGTTTTCCCATCCCTCAGGCAATCCCCCTGTTTGGGGGAAGATGTATTGAATATTGTTTTTGGGGTCACATAGCGCCTCTGATGTTATCTGGCCCATTGCCTTTGAAGTTCTAGCTCACTCAAAGCCTTTTTACTTTTCCTCGGTTGTGTGCACTGTGTCCAACACATGGTGGTTTTGCCCCCCCCTCGTCTTTCTGGAGCCCTTTGTCTCCTCTGTAACACTTCTTTGAAACTTGTTGGTTCCTACATACTTCACGGGCTTTCTTGTTGTCTCTCCCCCTTCCTTCCTTAGCTGATTTCCTGGTCCTTGATGTTGTTTTCCCTGATGGGCTGTACAAAAGTTTCGGTTAATTGGCTTTTTGCTGCTATGTCATTTTCATTTTGTCTTTGGGGCCCCCCTTCTTATCTGTGCATATTTGTTTCTGGCTCTACGACTGCTCTCCTTTTTCTCCTGGGTCCCTTTTCCTTCTATATTTCTTCCTTCCCTGCACACTTGGTTTTTGCCTCCCTGCCCTTTGGGTAAAACCCTGGGCTCATCCCGGCTTTTTCATTATTCTGTTACCCTTGGGGGACAAACCTCTCCCCGCCTCCTTGCTTTTTTTTGTACATATTCCATCATCTCATTAACGGTTCCCCGCCGTTTTCGTCCCATGAACCCCGTTCAAAAAGTTCCTCATTCCTGTGTAGTCCCTTTTTTGTAGTTCGGCTTAAATTTGTCCTGGCCTTCCTGCTTCTCCTCCACTTGTAGCTTACTGTGTATCAAGCTTAAAACCACATGGGCACTGGCCCCAAGGGGTCTTTATATTGATGTCCTCTATATCTGCACTACTCAAGGTGAATATAAGTTAGCCCTTGTGGGTTATCCTTCCTCTTCCTTGAGTGTCCCTTACGTGTTGGAATAAGTTTTCCATTTCCACCTCCATCATCTTACCCTCCCTGTACTTGGCCCCCCTGCGGGGCCAAAATTTCCCAATCGATT